GCGCGCGCGCGAGAGAGAGAGAGAGACGGCGCAGCGCGTGGACAACGACGAAGAGGCGGAGGCGCGCGCGGACATCGACGGCACGACGCTGCAACAGACGAAGGCTACGACGACGGAGGCAGACGACGAAGACGGCCTCGGCGCGCAGCGCGACTAAAAATTGAACGCGCGTTTAACTTTTTGAACGCGCGTTTAATTCTTTGAACGCGCGTTCAACTTTTTGAACGCCGGCTGCGGGGGGGGTTGTGCGCGGCCCGCGCCGTGTTTCCGGTGCGGTGGGGGGTTTCGAGGCCGTGGTGGGTGAGTGGCTGGCACGACAGAGGCAGCTAGGGTTTGGCCCGACGAGGTCTGGTGCTGGGAGGGACGCCGGCGGGAGTTGGAGCTTCATGGTACAGTCTGAGGGCGGACCGCTTCGGTTAACCCATCGGCGAGTGGGAACGATGCCGCGAAGTCAGTCTCGGGTGTTCGAGGATGGGGGGGAGGACGAGAATCGGAAGGCGCAGAAGAAGTTTTGCGTGTACAAGTACATCCGCGTGGGACAGAATCTCGGCGAGAGATTCCGCGACAATCGCATGTTGAAGTGCATTTTCTGCGGCCACGAGTTCCACGGCAACCAGTTCGTGGCGGCGCGCCATTTCCGCAAGGGCAAGGGATGTCCGGAAGTGACAGACGAGGCACTTGTCGACATCCACTATAATAGTGAGTACACGATGTCCGAGAAGTTCCTAGAGCGGATCAAGCGATTTGAGGAGCTTCACGGTGCAGCGCCTGCGATGGATCCACGACGGGACGAGGGGGGGGAGGGAGGGATAAGGGACGCGGAGGAGCAGATCGACATGGACGACGACGTCGAGGAGGTTGCACGGGCGGGGCCGTCGGTGAGGGAGCGAGGGAAGGGCGTTGTCAGCGAGTCGGGGGGGCAGCAGGGCCAGTACTTTGCATCGGCGCACGTGTCGACTCGTACACGGGCAGGTGCGGATACGGCTGAGGCGGGTGCGTCTGCGGGGAAGAGGAAGGAGAGAGAGGAGGGGGACAGACCGACGGCAACACAAAAGAGGATGAGACAGAACACGATCACGGAGTCATTCTCTTCAAAGTGGCAGATGGAGTTCAAGAAGAGGTGGTTGTGGTTTGTGTACAATCAGCGCCTGGCGTTCAACGTCTTCCGGAGCGAGCCGTGGTTGGACGTCGTCCGACACTTTAAGGACTTGCCGGGGCCAGTGAAGGTGTTGTGGCCTTCAGAGAATGAGATCGCAGACATAGAGACCATTGTCCACACGGCGGACGATGTGGGAGCTGATCTCGCGGAGGTCAGGGCTCCTTTCTATGTCACGGGGGCCACCATTATGTCAGACGGAAGGGAGTGACGCGATGCTAGACCCATTGTCAACTTCCTTGCCGGCGGGTCGCGTGGGGTGATGCTCGGCCGGACGATGAACAGGGAGGGTGAGCGGGATCGGGCGCCTGATGTGTTGGCGCGCTGGATCAAGGTGTTCGATGACTTCTCCCCTAAGTGGGTGAACACCATCTGCACCGACTCCGCCGGCGTACGTCGCCGCGGCGAACATGCTCCAGGAGCCCCAGCAGAGGCCGGAGCATCGACGGATCGCGTGACTCCCATGCGCAGTGCATGTCTGCCACAAGATGTTGTCAGACATTGGCTGTTCGGGCCCGTGGTCCAAGGATATCATCGTGAGGGGGAGAGCGGTGGTGCGCTTCATTAAGGAGCACCACGCCGCTCTCCATATCTACCGGGGGGAGAGTAGTCAGATGGGCTTCATCTATCCTTGCGAGATACGTTTCGCATCCGTGTTCTCGATGGTGGAGCGTTTGCTGGCAGTGAGGTCAGCTTTGGAGAGAACGGTGGATGGCGATACTTGGGGTATGGTCCCTTGGGACCATTCCGTTCGTCATTTGGCTAGGTGGGTCAGGTGGCAGGTGCGACATGGCAGTTGGTGGGATTCCATGGGCATCTTGTTCCGTATCATGGAGCCTGTGTACGACTTGCTGCGCAGGTTGGATCGCGGAGGGCTGCACATGTCGCGGGTGGTTGAGTGGACACAGGATCTGGCCCGCCAGGTAGCAGAGGAGGTTTGTGCACTTCCGACAGATCTTGCACACTACATTGTGCAGAGGGTGCAGGCTCGATGCCCTCACATGCTGGAGCCGGCGCACGCCGCTGCTCACCTTCTCTGTCCCAGCCGGAGGGACTTGCAGTACTTTGAGGGTGTGGTCAGCGACTACGACGCGAGCTTGGTGTGGGAGGCGGAGACTTACATCTTGTCGCAGACAGGGTTCAGTGTGGCGAGCCGCGACTACGAGACCGCATGTGCACAGTTGCACGACTTCCACACACAGAGGGGGACGATTGCTTGGGGGGGGAGAGATGGAGAGAGAGATGCACAGAGGTGCAGGGGCGATGCGGAGACGTACGAGTCCGGGTGTTGGTGGTCGAGGTACGGGCAGTGCGCCCCGCAGTTGCAGGTTATCGCTCTTCGTGTGATGTACATGTGGACGTGCTCCTCTCCTGCCTCTCCTGCGGAGAGGGATTGAGCCGTCCACGAGGGTGTACAGACGAAGAAGTGTAACCGGCTTGAGTTCGAGAAGGTTGCGAAGTTGGTTGAGATCTCAGCCAACGTCCGCCTTCTCTCTTATCAGCGGGCAGGCCGGGGGTTCGCGCTGCCGTGGACTCTAGATGAGTCGTTGTTGGACGTGGAGAGAGGTATCGGGATTCGCCCCTCGTGGAAGGGGACGGACGAGAGCAGGACGCGGGAGGAGGTCGAGGATCAGAGACGTTCATGGCAGCGAGACCCATGTGGGTCGTGAGCTCCTCCGGGTGATGTGGGCAATGTTTTTGGGACTCGAGCCGCCACATTGCACCCGTACCCTCGAGACGGCAGTGATTCCGAGGGTCACGAGGATGAGGACGAGCCGGCGGGCCCCGCTAGCGTCGCTCCTGCGGCGGTGAGCGTGATGAGTGGAGCGACCCGGAGGACGTCCGTAGACGGAGTGGCAGAGATGACCTTTTCGTTCGAGTTGATTTGGAGGAGGAGTCCGGGGGTCGTCATAGGAGCCCTTTAGAGCGTCTGAGGCCTACGTCCACTGCCCCGCTTCCCACTGAGCGGGAGACAGATCCGGGTCTGCACCTTCGAGGGGGGCAGAGTCGGGGATTGGCCATTGTCCTCTGGGTTGCTCTAGCACGACATCATCCACCGCTCTTCCCACTTCGATGGAGCAGCTTCATCGACAGCCAGCCGGTGCAGATCGATTGCAGAGATTGGTGAGGGGCCCAAGACAGCGATTGGAGGACATATTGGAGGGCGGTCCTATGCCGGTGCAGGGTGACGACGGAGACAGACAGGGGTTGGTTGGTGGAGATGGTGGTGCGCTGGCCGGCGGTGGAGGCGGTGTCGAGGTTGATGCGGCGGTTGAGGGGATACCGATGGGCGGCGGAGGCGGTTTCAGTGAGTTTGGCGACATGGGTATGCCCCCGGGAGAGAGCGTGGGTCTCGCCCGAGGAGAGAGCGAGTCCCGTGGGGACATTAGTGTCGGTATGCAGGACTTACTGGGACAGATTAGCTTCGCGTACCCGAGTAGTTTATCCCCTGCCATGCGCGCAGAGGTGATGTTGGGGGCAGAGGGGGATGAGGACCGGACACCCCCTAGAGAGATATCTGCAGAGAGGCTAGATAGGCTTGATAGTCGTCGAGCGTGCCTCATGGCACAGAGGGACCCCAGGACGCAGGAGCTCGCCCGTCTTGCGGCCGAGGACCGACGGAGGCAGCTGGGGACATTTACGCCGGCGTCCGTTGACGTGGGGCCAGCTGCCCACAAGGATACTCCGGCAGAGGTTCACGACACGACGCAGCGGGAGGCGGCTTCGGTCGAGGTTTCGAGTACGGGAGTAGATGTTCAGGAGGGGACGCACGAGAGCGGGTTGGCATCGACAGAGGAGCCACGTTCGGAGTCGGCGCAGCCTCTTGCCGTCCAGCTGAGGCCCGAGGAGACATTGCAGGAGGTCGCGGGCGTGACTCTGCCCGCGGGTTCAGTTGAGGGTGCCATGCATATGTCCCCGGGTCTGGAGGACATACAGACGGGGCAATCAGTGGGCGTTGATGATATTTGCCCATCGACACTGGCGGAGGGGATAGCGCCGACCACTGGGGGGGACGGGGCGGTAGCGGGGGCCGTTGGTGTTGGCGGGTCGGGGGTGCCGTCCGCGGCCGATCCGATGTCCACGTCTGGCGGGGGAGACCCCGCACAGGTGGACAGGCGTGACGCGGACGGACAGGAGATGCCACAAACTTTGGTGGTTCGCACTGCTGTGGGGCCAGTGGTGCCACATCAGGCATCGTTTTTGGAGAATTATAGGCGTCCTGCACATGGCGGTGGCCCGATCGAGGAGCGACGTGTAGGCAGGGGCGCGTGCATACCCCCGGTCCCTACTTTTGCGCCGTCACAGACGATGCCGGAGATTAGGCATGTGGCTACATGTCGAGGTAGCCTCCCTTTTGGTTTTATGACCGCTGAGGAGTTGGAGGACCACGGCAAGAGGGATTTGACGGAGATCGACCAGCGCATTTTGAGGTCAATCCCGGAGGAGGGGAAGCTGCCTCACGTGCAGGACTTATCTTGGGGGCTAGCCAGCCCCAGCTTACCTTCTGGGTGTTCCATCGCAGCGCCATCTGGCGGGGCTGCAGGGGGCTTACCTTCTGGAGGTTCCGTCGCAGTGGCATCGGGCGGGGCCGCAGGGGACTTACCTTCTGGAGGTTCGGTCGCAGCGCCATCTGAAGGCGCCGCAGGGCCTTCGTCACCCTTGACCGCAGCTCCGAGGGAGGGCGACAATCTCACCCCGAGGTCGGTTGCCCGTAGACGGAGAGACACTACCCAGCGTGCGCGGGAGTTGCTGGACACCATGTTGTTCGGTCGCACAGATCGACCATTGAGTGAGACGAGACGGGTGACAACGGCGAGTGTCGGTCGTCAGCCAGGTTTGAGAGGGGTTTCCACGAGCGCGAGACGTCGAGATGTTGTAGCTTCAGGGTTTGGCGGTAGAGGTGGTGGTGGCGGTGGCAGTGGTGGCGACGGCGACGGCAGACGTGAGGGCGCAGGCGGTGCCACGACAAACGTATTGGATCCGCCGCGGACGTACGGTTTGAGAGAGGCGTCGATTATTTTGGAGGAGCCTGATGTTGTTACACGACTGAGGCAGCCCCGACACGTGCCCTTTGATCAACGCCAGGAGGGGGAGACTTCAGGGACTGACGGTCTACCTATGGCACGCGAGTCACGCCGGCGTGATGACCTAGCAGCAGCAGCCATCAGGACGGTGAGAGGCAGGAGAGTCATTATGGACGACGATCCCGACGAGCTTCCCATCGCTCCCGAGCCTTCCGCTGGCGAACGCGGCGGCCAGCGTCAGAGAGATCGAGGACGTGGCAGTGGTTGGTCCCACGGACGAATTTCTCATCGGTCCGAGCGAGATCCGCGTGCGCACGACGATTGTTGACGGATTACGGGCTTGCGTTTTCGTGACTTTCGCAGTGTACTTTAGTTTTTTGTTATCCATCACAGACGTAATGTCCCGTGAGGTTGTATTATAGTCTACTTTTCAGTGGGTACTTTTCTGCGCAGACGTAGTGTTTCGTCATGTTGTATTATAGTGTACTTTCCAGTAGGCACTTTTCTCCAGTTTGCTACTTCGGAGATTGTAGCTTTCCAGTGTGTTTTAGTGTACTTTTTCGTCGGCATTTTCGGGTTGGTACTTCTTTCCACACACTGGCGGGGCTTCGACACGATGTGTCAGATTTTTGCTATTATCCATGCTTTATTGGTTAACTTTGCGTTTTGCTTCGATCATTACATCTTCGCATTCGCGATGTTTCTGTTTTCAGACGACGAGTGTTTTATGTGCTTTGAGTCCGCCCTTGGTTTCTCTAAAATCTTACTTCCCACTGTATGAGCACCACAAAAACCTCGGGCACCCGGGGGCGTGGGCGGACTTGGGGGGTTGGGGTTTGGCGTGATTTGAACACGCACGAAACCCAAACCCCCGAAGTGCTTTCAGGCCCCTCATAACCCAAACCCTCCCGTAGCCCCCCCTGACACCCCGCCCCC